CGAGGCTGAAATGACGCTGCTTTAGGGCCAGTGTGATAACGTCCAAGGCTACCCTCCTCTTCCACATTTCTGGGAGCAGCCACAAAAAAGATCCTATTCCCAGATTCCTACCAATGGGTCTCTGAAGGTGTCACAGCCACAATCTACCTCCTGTGCAAACCCCAAATCCTATAGGCATTATCACCATTTTTAATCGATTCCCTCCTCTTGTGCCCTTTCCCCAAAATCAAGGTGGGATTCGTAAATTAAAACTGAGAAAAAGCACTTACAGTGTGACCAGATGTCCTCACCGCAAAGGAGGACAAGGCCCCGCAACATGGAGGACACCCAAGAAGAATGGAGAACAGGACCAATCAAAAGCTGAAAACACTCATACAAATATAAATGCATGCTTCTTAGGTCCAAAACATACTGCACAAATAATAATCCAGTTTGAGACTGCTTTAACTGCCCTGGCTCAGTGCTAGGGAATCCTGGGAATCGTAGTTTGTTGTGGCCCCAGAGCTCTAACAAAGAAGGCTCAATGTCTCACAAAAACACAGTTTCCCAGAAATCCATAGCATTGAGCCAGGGCAGTGAAAGCTCAAACTGGATTGTTTTTGCAGTGTGTTTTGGACTTCATGTCCTGCTCAAAGTGGGAGGACCTTTTGAAATTCCTCTTGGACAGAAGGCTAGAAATGTTCAACAATCTAATAATATTTGAAGCAACAAAAGAACTCCATATAAATAAAATATAAATTTTATATAAATAAAATATATAAATTTTATATATTTTATATATAAAATATAAATAAAATATAAATAAAATATAAATAAAAATTTATATATTTTATTTATAAATATAAATAAATAAAATAAATAAAATATAAATAAAAATTTATTATTATTATTATTATTATTATTATTATTATTATTATTATTATTATTATTAAAGTTATTATTATTATTAAAGTTAGAACTGGATAAAGGTAAATGGTAAAGGTAAATGGATGCATTACACCAAGCAGACTGTAATGTTGGAAGGAGGAACAATGTTACTGTAAATAGTTATTAATTACTTGAATCATCTAGAAGTTAAGAAGGTGGGAAGTGAAGATACATTTTGGTCATTTATTTACTGTAAAACCAGTGGGTAAAAGACAACAATATTATTACTTTAATACAAAGTGGGGAGCGGTTAGGGTTGATCATTGGGCCTGTACAGGCTGCCAGAAATAATCCAGCTTTAGGCCACTTTAACTGGCCTGGCTCCATGCTAGGGAATCATGGGAACTGTAGTTTTTTCTGAGACATTGAACCGGGGGTAGGCAACCTTTCCCCTTTAAGGGCCAAGGGACTTCAGCTCCCAGAATCCCAGGAGCTATCAGCCAACATGGGACTATTGGCCAACATGGCTGAGGCTTCTGGGAGCTGAAGTCCCTCAGCCCTTAAAGGGGAAAGGTTGCCTAGCCCTGAATTGAACCTTGTCTGTCAGAGAGCTCTGGTGCCACAATAAACTACATTTCCCATGATTCCCTACCACTGAGCCAGGACAGTTAAAGTGGTCTCAAGCTGGATTATTTCCGGCAGTCTGTACAGGCCAGATGTAATTTAAAATGTACAAAAATTATAATGAAAGGGGGAGGAGGAGGAGGTGGAGGCGGAGGCTGAGGCTGAAATGGAGGACAAGTCCTTGAAAAGGAGGACTGATCTGGTCTGGATACAAAGGCACAAAACTCCTTGTTGAAAGAGGCTGTCTCTTCCTGAAAAGTGGTGTGTTCAGGGAGCTTAGCACTGTGAATATTGCAGAATCTGAGCCTCTGAGGACCCCAGGCTGCACCTGCACTGGAGAACTAATCCGGTTTGAGACCGGTTTAACCACCCTGGCTCAAGGCTATGCAATTCTGGATATGGTCGTTTGTCGTGGCACCAGGGAGGAGCTACTGTGCCCAGAATTCCATAGCCTTGAGCCAGGGAGGTTCAACCGGTCTCAAACCGGACTTGTTCTCTAGTGCAGACGCAGCCTGGAGTTCTGCAGTATTCACAGTCAGCTGAGGGGGATTGCAGACTGCCAGAAATAGTGCAAATTGAGTCCACTTTTAGGGTTAGGGTTACTGCTAGGGAATCATGGGAATTGTTTTTTTTTTCTGAGACATTGAGCCTTCTCTGTCAGAGAGCTCTGGTGCCACAATAAAATACAGTTCCCATGATTCCCTAGCACTAACCCTAACCCTAAAAGTGGACTCAATTTGCACTATTTCTGGCCAAGCTCCCTGAAACCCCACACCACCTTTCAGGAAGAGACAGCCTCTTTCAACAAAAAAGAGTTGCGTGCCTTTGTATCCCGACCAGACCA